TTTTTTGAGATGAAGTCTCGCCCTGTTGCCCAGGCTGGAGTGCAATGGCGCGATCTCAGCTCACTGCAACCTCTGCCTCCAGGGTTCAAGTGATTCTCCTACCTCAGCCTCCCTAGTAGCGGGGATTACAGGTGCCCACCACCACGCCCGGCTAATTTTTTGTATCTTCAGTAGAGATGGGGTTTCCCCATGCTGGCCAGGCTGGTCTCAAACTCCTGACCTCATGATCCGCCCACCGTGGCCTCTCAAAGTGCTAGAATTACAGGCATAAGCCACCATGTCCAGCCTATTATTATAATTTTTGCGACGGAGTCTCGCTCTATTGCCCAGACTGGAGTTCAATGCAACCTCTGCCTCCCAGGTTCAAACAACTGTCCTGCCTCAACCTCCCGAGTAGCTGGATTTACAGGCATGTGCCACCATGCCTGACTGATTTGTGTAGTTTTAGTAGAGACAAGGTTCTGCCATGTTGGCCAGGCTGGTTTTGAACTCCTGACCTCAAGTGATCCACCCGCCTTGGCCTCCCGAAGTGCTGGGATTACAGGCTGAGCCACTGCACCCGGCCTGAACTGAATGTTTCTGTTTCCCCAAAATTCATATCATGAAGCCCTAACCCCAATGGGAGGTGTATTAGTCCATTCTCACGATGCTATAGGGACATACCTGATACTGGGCGATTTATAAAGAGGTGTAATTGACTCACATTTTCACATGGCTGGGGGTAGCCTCGGGAAACTTAAAACCATGATGGAAGGCACCTCTTTACAGGGCAGCAGGAGAGAGAGAGACCAGCAAAGGGAGACTCCCTTATAAAACCATCAGATCTCTGACTGATTGATTGAGACAGAATCTAGCTCTGTCATCCAGGCTGGAGTGCAATGGTGTCATCTCAGCTCACTGCAACCTCCGCCTCCCGAGTTCAAGCAATTCTGCTTTAACCTCCCCAGTAGCTGGGACTGCAGGTGTATGCCACCATGCCCAGCTAATTTTTTTTTTTTTTT